CGTTTTGCTATCTTGGCTCATTTGTTGCCCGTTATGCACTTCACTTTGTAAAAATTATTTAGCATTTAAGGGTTGCGTTTCAAAAAAGGCAGTTTTGGTATGTTTGCTTTAAAAGATCAAAAAAAAAAAAAAAGAGGGGCGTTGTAGTTTGTGCAGTCATCATTTGGGTAAGTTTGGCAAGTGGAAATGTAGATAAAACACAAGAGCATCTTTTGTGTTACAGAAAAAGGAGCAGTTGCAACGCCCAGGAAAAAAAGGAAGAAAAGGAAAAAAAAAGGAAAAAAAAGGAAAAAAAAAGGAAAAAAAAAGGAAAAAAAAAAATATACACACATACATAGACAAATGGATACATACGTCTATACATGCATGTGTACTGATCGGACAGCGCAGCGCGGTGAACCAGAATTGGCTCACAAATTGTTGTCCACGTAGGGGTTGGGGGGGGGCACGTTTTCCTTCTCCTTGAAGTAGTCAAAGGTGTTGACTTTGTGGCTGCGCGGGTGGTAGTTGTAGTTCAGGTTCTGTAGGATATACTGGACGTCAATTTCTTTTTGCTTTTCCTTTTTCTCGACTGGGCGATCGGCGTTGGGAGTCTCTCCGAGGAAGGGCTGATCATGGTGAGCGTTAGGGTGATCCATAGACTGATCGTTCAGGCGATCATTATGTTGATCACTGTGGTGACCTTTTGGGTGATCATTCTGATGATGACACCGGCGAACTTCGCCCTCATCGCCGCTATCTCCTGTGCTCAGACGATTGGCCCAGGTGTGACTATCCTTGACGACCCATTTTGGGGACTTCTTTCTGTTCGAATCTTTTATGAATCCGGAGTTGTGGAGATTTTTCAGGAACAGATATTCGTCATGGGGGTTTGTTTCGCGAGGACCTGTTTCGTGGGGGTCCTTTTCGTGGGGGTCTTTTTCGTGGGGGTTTTGGTCATGGATTTCTTCGCCCACGTATGGAAGCTCCCTCTCTTCCTGTTCTATGTTGCTCTGTAGAGAGAACCTTTGCTTATACCTGGCTATTCTCTCATCCATTCGTCTTTTATATATGTCTAATTCGTTTGGGGAGTTCGTCCGGCGCTGTTCTTTATTCGATGGTTCGGAGTTTTTCATTGAAGGAGAGTAGTTTCCATTGGTATTGGGCGAACCATTTGTGGGTGGCCTGAACGGACAGGAGTTACTATTACCCCCATTGTTGTCGTCCAAGTTGGGGATTTTTTGTTCCGACTTTTTGAAAAAGTTGGTTATCCTCAATTGGCTTTTGCGATTTTCGTTCTCCGCGGAAGATTTACTTTTGCGTGGGGAGGAAGCGCGTGAGGAGTTGTTGCTCCTTTCCGATTTGAAGTTCTTTTTGTTTATTTCGTTTTTCAGGCCGCTGGGTTGTTCCGGGGTCGGTTTGCTGATTGGTTTCCCCTGCGCGTCGCTTCTCATTTTGTCTTTCCGGTCCCAAATGTTGGTTTCCACGGAATTCGCCCCGTCTTCATCAGGCCGCTGGGCATTACACCCCCCTTGAATCTCCATCACGTGTGGACATTCCACCCTCTCTTCTGTGGAGTTACGTCTCAATTCTGTGGTTAAAGATCCCATTTGGTTGCTTGTCTCGCCGTCTAACGTTTTGAATAGAAGGAAGCTCCTTTTCATATTTTGGTACATAGCTCTTGCGCTTTTGTGTCTGTTCGTTCCTCCAGTTGGATTGATAACTTCTCCTTCGTCTTCTTTCTGCTGCTTCTTCGGCTTCCCCTTTGTTGCATCCTGCTGACTGATTGTGCCCATCCCGTGGGTGGAGCCTCCTTTGAGGCGAGCCCCCCCTTGGCAGTTGTCACCTGACTGCGATATGCACCTTCCGTTTTCTAGGATCTCGCCATGATGATTTTGGCCGGAGCGTTTACTGAAATCGTGTTCCTTTTCGTCAAACAGGTTTCTCCACGTTAGGTCACCTGTGTGCGGGGGTTCTGCGGCACTCCTTTTCGTTTTCTTAAAGTTATCCGAGTCGGTGTGGTTCCCCTTCCGCTTGGTCAATTTTGTTTTTTCCTTTCCTCTAGGTAGATTATTTCGGGAGTCGTACACAGGGGGCTCGCTTGGCTCGATTGTATTTCCTGAATCGCTTGGATCTCTGAGTATTAAGACCTCATCCTCAGCCTTCGTGAGCTCCCTTCCGTGCGCACAGTCGTTACCCTGTGGGGAATCACCAAATGGGGTCAATTTTGTGCATTTCATGGGGGGCCACAGATTGGTCATCTGAGTGGTTCCACTTGGGTGCATGGGCGAGCTGGTGTGCGCCTCTCCTTTGGGCGGTTCCTGTTTGGCTGTTGCGTTTGAGGGGTACTCTCCGGGGTGGCATTCCACGTAGTTCTCCCTATGGCTCTGCCAGGCACTTGTCCAATCGCTTGACCTATGGAAACCCTCCTCTTGAGCGCTCTGTACATAGTCCCTGCACTCGAGAGGGTGTCCCCCCGCCGCCTCGTCGCGTGCTCCTTCCTGCTCCTTCAGATCATTCTTCCCCTCGTGGCGTGCTCCCTCCTGCTCCTTCAGATCATTCTGCCCCTCGTGAGGTTTCTTGAACAGGTCGGGGGATAACTCCAAATATTCTAAACACTCGGATGGTAAATTTTTAAAAATGTTTTCGAAATTGTCCGTTTTGTCTAAGTAGGGATCTTCCTTTATGGCAGTTTCTTTTGATGGAACTGGGGATCTCTTGCTGGGTGCTTCTGGAGAAACATTTCCTCTGAGCATGTCCTTGGGGTGGTGTTGTCTTTCTGTATCTACATTTTCTTCATCTCTTGTACTCCTTTGGGTGATTCTCTCCGAACTGTTGCTCCCATCAGGAACTAAGCTACTGCTCCCGCCGCTGGCACCACTGGAGAGTTCTTCTGAGTATTCGTTGAGGCAGTTTCCCCTCCTCTTGCTGTTATCATATATGAGGGAAAAGTCACGTATTTTATTGATGAGGAGTTTATTTTCAATTTTCTTTAGTGCACTATTGAAGGACTGCTTGATCGGGATGTTCTGGCACAGAATAAAATCATACACTTGGTGATATAAGAAGGCATTTTTAATCTCTTCATATTTATCCAGGAGCTTTTCTAGGGTGTTTAAACTGGGCGGTATTTTACGCTTCCATCTGTCATGCGAAATGAGGAATGAGAAAATGTTCTCGATAGTTTTATACTGGCTGATTAAACTGAAGGCAGTTTTGATTCCCATTCCCGTGATGTGAAAATCGTTTGTGTAATCACAGCCACTTAGGATACACATCGCCAGGAACATGTCTATGCTGAAATGCTTTAGGTTGTCTAATTCTTCTGGCCAGTAGAAGTCGTTTAGATACTCCTTCATCACATTGTGGTAGCTTTTTTTTTTCTTCTGAGGGTTCCGGTTTGCCTCGGCACGGTGGCGCGTCCGTCGTTGCGAGCGAGTAGGGGGGTGCTCGGGCGAATCGGACACATTACTCTGTTCCCAACCGAATATGTTCTTCTGTCTCCCATCTGATAGGTTTTTCTCTTTCCAATCTGATACATTTTTCTCTTTCCAATCTGATACATTTTTCTCTTTCCAATCTGATACATTTTTCTCTTTCCGATCTGACACGTTATGGTCTTCCTCACCTGAGTGCCCCCCCTCTTCATCCTTCGGACCCTCCTTCATTGGGGTGATGTAAAACTCGTTAAACGAATCCGAGAGTGGGTTCCTAATTTTGTTAATCAGGTTTACGTCAATCAGATCATCGATGGGCATCAAGCTTATTTCATCGCACTCGCCAGTGCTTTTGAGTTTGTACAAGACGCGTGGGCAACCATATACTAGCAAGTCACTGTCTTCACTTATGGCGCAAGAAATATATCCCATTCTGCAAAGGTAGGACAACTGAGCGTCCGCTTCAAAAGGGGAAATAATATAATCTATATTTTTTTTCTTACAAAAGTCGATCACGGTGTTTATAATGTCTTTGGAAACACTTAAAGCTTGTATGCATTTTTTCAGGACCGTCTCGTTTGATCTTGGGTTTGCCACCGATTTTATAATTTCTTGTGCTTCCTTCTTTGCCTTTTCTCTTCTATCTTTCCTAATTACATTTTCTGCTTTTTTTTCTGGTAACTCTTCTCCGTCGAAGACGAAGATGACCTTTATGTTGTATTGATAAATACATTCCAGCATTTTTTCGATGAAGCTTAAGTAGCTGTCGTTGTAGTTCTCCGTGACTACGTCGTATGCGCAACTGATGAGACCCCTGTGGATCCAGCACATGATGTCCACGCCGATCACTTCATTTTTGTACTTGCTTATGTGTGTTCTTTTGGCGATCGGTTTTAGGAACGGCAGCAGGTTCGTGATTCCCATTTGTTGCTTTGGGGGGCCCCGACCACGACACCGTCGCAAGGGAGTGGGTTACAATGAATATATGTGTGTGCAAATCTGTACATGCAAATGTGTACGTGCAAATGTGTACGTGTCAATGTGTACGTGTCAATGTGTACGTGTCAATGTGTACGTGTCAATGTGTACGTGTCAATGTGTACGTGCCAACGTTGACGCAGGGCGCCCGTCGAGTAGGCCCAGGAGAAGCGGGTATGAGGCTCAGGAGGTATGCGGCTCAGCGGAATAGCGAAGTAGCAGAATAGCGCAATAGCGGAGTGGCGGCTAGCTGGGTACACAACCGAGTCCATTTTAAAATTCATTTCAATGCCTTTTCAAATGGAACATGGAGAGATAAAAAAGTGGTTCGAAAATGGCATTTAGCGGGTTGGCGGATTATCCGGTTAGCGGCCATGGATAATAACCATCACGCACGTTGTACGTACGAAGGTGTATTCACATGTGCGTGTTCCCCTACGCAGCGTTTACACGCATAGTGTCTTGGTATCTTCCTCCTTTTTTTTTTAAGTTGAAAGGTGTTTCAACTTTGGAAGTTTTGCAAATGGTAATCCCCTCGATTCGGTTTCGTTCACACTTTCCGCATTTGGTTGTTTTGCTAATAAAAGCGCATACGAAGTGTGGGAAAAAATGATATCATCAGTTAATGTTAAGAAGATTGTAAAAAATCGCTCCCCATCCATTGGCATGTTTATTTATTACATAATGCATTCTAACCGAGTGGCAATAAAACCACCCTTTTTGATGTGCAATAATATTTGTTTTCCCTTTCGCTGCCTTTTTTTTTGTTGCATTTTTTTTTTTTTAAATGTGTCGGCTAAGATTTCGGGGAACAATTTTTTTTTGGCTGTACATGCGGGGCGACTTTTTTTTTCTTTTCGCCGCTTTTTTTTTTCTGTATTTCTTACAACATAAGGAAGGAAGTGGTCACAAAAAGTTCTTCTTTGTTGAAATAAATTGGGATGATTGCTTTTAATTTTTTGGTTGCCCTTTTTCTTTATATTTTTCCCGGTTTTAAGAATGAATTGTTTTAATTTTTGGCCCCACGTGAAGTTATGAGTAGCAATTCCGCGGCGGAGTGGCCCACTTAGTCATGATCGTTTGTCGTGAAAGGGCCTCCAATTATTCTGCTAGTAAATTTTCTACGAAGAAATGTTATCTTAAAGGTGGTTGCGTAGAGAGCCAAATAGGGAAAGCAGCTTGTGAGCCCATGTTGGGCAACCAGTCCCGAAGAAACGTCTTTTAGGGTTACCCGGAGACGGTTGTTGTGAGGAAGTAGTTGGTTTTTTTTTTTTTTTTTGTTTCTTGAGAAGCCTACCTTTGTTAATAAGTTTGCCAGGGGGAGATATTCGCTTCCCCCCATTTTGAAAAACATCCTCATAGTTACAGGACTCCGCTGAAGGGAAGACCACTCGCCCTTACCCTTTCAGTCTAGCCGCGCAGCTTCAACAATATAGGCCTTCCCCGTTGCAAACTATATATGCCTCCCTCGTAGCCCTATCCATAACCATAACACCCTATCCCTAGCATATACGCTGTCAACGAGTGATGCAACAAAATGGGCGTCCTAAAACTGAAAAATGACAGGAAGAAGAGGGAAAAGGCGAAGGAGACCAAAATAGATTATGCAAAATGTTTAAAAAGAACAAAAATTAAGGAGAAAATAATTCGGAAGGACGCCGAAAACGAATTCGATCTGTCTATATTCGCCAAAACAGATCATGCATCGAATAAAATACGACAGCTGAATTATGCCAAACTAATTAAAGCGATAAGGAAAAACAAAAATTTAATTGCAAACCATGTGCAAAAAATTTTGGAGATTTACGGAAAGGGCATTATAGATGACGATGAAAATGTGCGTAATTATTCCTCCAAAATATTTTACCACTTGGTGAATAGCCACATCGGTTTTGACGTGTTCCACAGCAAGATTAAAACTTGCTTGTTTCACTCGCTGAAGATAGGAAGAGTCCCTCTGAAGGTGCTAAACCTGGAGCTGTGTTACAGCTTTTTTTTTACGAAGATTCACTACTGCCATAACTTCTTTTATGAATTCTTGAGCAACATTTTGGGGTGCTTCGTTACGCTTCCCATTGAGAAGCAGGTGACAACGGTGAAGTATTTCTTCCTCTTGTTCAAGCACAAATGGAGGTTCAAGCGGGGGGGGAGGGGCCTCCCCAGTGGGGTGAAGCAACAGGGAAGAAATGCTTCCTTGAAAGAGACACCCATTGACATAGTGGAGAAGGGGGGTCCTTTCCATGGAGAAGAAGTCCCAATTGACGAATCGCAGGGAGACCCGGACAACGGCTACGAATTCATAACCCGCACGAACAGGCGAAACAGCTGTAACGACCCCTTCCTGCTGAAGAAGGAGAAAAAGACGAGCATTCAGGTGGCTACCAAGATGGAGATCTACACAAAAGTACTGCAATGTCTGTATAACTTTATGGATGAAGTGGTGTACAATTCGATCAGCGTAGATTTGATTCACCTCTACACGAAGATTTTAAAAGTAATAACTTTTATGATGAAGAAGAAAAAAAAAACAATGTTGAAGCAAGAAATGATGATCCTAGTTAACAATTTTTTTCACAGAGCAATGGGGGTGATTAACGAACATGCAGATGAGTTACGTAGCTCCAAAAAGATATTGAACATGATTTTCTACTTCGTCCTCTTGGTTTTGTCAATGTGTGGGAAAGAGATGAACCACTTTGAGGATGCCAATAGGAAGGTTCAAATAAACTACGTAGGGTTAGTAAAGTATTGCCTCTCCATTTACTTCTACACCCACTTACGATGTGAATTTTTTATCGTAAAAAGTACGGAGCAGCAAAAAAGCGGAGGCGCCCAAAACGGGGATATAAAAAGAGCAGATCCGTTTAATCAGAGTAAAGGAAGAAGTCACACAAAGGGAAGCAGCCATGTAGTCAACAATTTGTCCGATGGGGAAAGGAAGAATGGGACACACAAGAACGTGGAGAAGTACGCAAGGAAATACTTTCACCTGTTAATATTCCTGTATGAAATGTTTATTCACCGAAAGGATAAGAGAACGGTGTGGCAAGATGGAGCGTCCCATGAAGGGAAAACAAGCGGGAACAACAGCAACCAGAAGGAGAAAAGCAACAGCAGTAATATTGCCTATAGCCATGCCGAAAGGATAATCAAATTGGTGGAAAAAGAAGTACACATTTATGAGAATAGCGGAGAAGTCTCACTTCTATGTGGATTCGTCTTAAAATATTTGAGGAACTTTTCGCAAAGCAGTATTGACCAGATGGATCACTTTTGCTACTTTATAATTATCCTCGCGCAGCAGGCAAATGGGGGGGTGAATCAACCCGATTATGAAACATCACGTGTGGGGGAAACACTCTCGACTTCTCCAGAGGAAAAAACACAAGGGAATAGCAACCAGCGGAGACGTGCAGATCACTTGGATGAGGGAGGCTCCCAAAACAGGAGGTCATCATTTCCATTCTTAACCACCCCATTCATGTTCGTACTTTTAGCAGACTGTGAGTGCTTCATAAATAGTAACTTCTTCGACACGTTTTTCGAAACATTTAATGTAGAAGAGAGGATTAGAGCAATGGAAGCGATTTCGTTTGTGCAGAATGGAGGAAGTACGATCAACATAGTTACAAGACAGACTTTTGATTGTTTTGTTGGAAAATTATTTTCCATTTTGTACAGTTATGACAACGCCGTTTTTGTGAATAACTGCCTTTTTATCCTTTCTTTCCTAAGTGTAAATAAGCGCAAGGTGAAGAAGCCATACGGGGATTTTAACCATTGCATTGCCACCAGGCTGGAAATGGAACAGCTGCTTCGCGTCGATGTAAGGACCCACTTGGATGATGTGATGAAGGATAAGGGAGAGATACTGATTGATCACTTTTTAAGCAAAAATAGACACATGATCCACTCCTTTGAGATAATTTCTAATCTGTATTTTGTGTACGAAAATAGGAGTAGAAGATTGCTCTTGTTCATTTATTTCTTGATTTTAAAATTTGAAAAGGAGGGGAGTACCTTGACCTTCGCCCTGGGGGAGGAAGAAGCCATGGTTCTTCTGGACCGTGTTTTTCGTACCCCATTTCGGAATGACTACACATCTGTAGTAAACGTTGAGCGTAGCTCCTTCCCTTTGATTGGTGTCTCCGCCGAACCAGATCTCCAGGGCGATTCGGAGATGAATCAAGATGAGGAGAACACAGAAGAAGGTACTCCTCTCTATTTTCTGGAAAGAAAATGCACATTTAGGATAAACAAGGATTATCTATATAGGGAAGATTTTTTACTTTTTTTTCTCCAGATGAGCTTATCCGAATGGGATTTTATCGTCCGAAATGACATATACACGGTTATGCATGTGAATTGTTCAAACGGAGGTGGACACACAAGCGTTGCGGACTTCTCAGGTGGAGAGAAACATGCCAACGTCATTTTGATTATAAAACGAATGGCATTCATAATTTCGAATGTTAACATATGCATTGAGAATGGGGAGAAGAATCTGAATAACTCCCTTTTCATAATGGATTACTTATTTGGGGTAATCGACCGGTTGGGGTTGACTGGTCCCCCCCTGGCAGGGAGCTCAAACGATTGCGATAGATTGTTCGTACTGGTTAAAGTGGCTTTTCTGTTTTATTTCGCATCTCATTATTTGTTCCCCTCCTTGTTGTCCGAAAGGAGGGGAAGCTTCCCTCCGGAGGGGGGAGCAATCGATGCGGGGAAGAATCGCAGGGGAAGAGGAGTTACTGCCATTATGCCCTCTACCAAGGAGGGCGAAGCGGATTTACAAGCTGATGCAACGGTTGGATGGGAGCATATCTACTACGACCACAGCGCAGATATAACGGTTGATGTTCCTACTTTTGTCGCGTTTGTGAAGGAAACTCTTTCGAAAAGTGGCAACAAGGAAGAAGAATCCCAATTGGATAAGTTCGCATATGTGATGCCGCACTGCCAAATGGCCTGTAGATTTTTTGATGTCCTATTTGAGCATGGCATTATGTACACAAGCAGCGTGAATGAGGACCTTCAAGAAATGATTAACGTGAACTTGGAATATAATCTGAGCACCCACGTAGAATTTCAAAATATGCTTACCAAAATTGAGAGCAGCATAACCATCGTTAGTTTCAAGAGCATTGTAGATGCCCCCGTGATGGGAATCATCAAATTGTTGGCAATCACCATTTTTAAGATGTCACTCAACAGAAACATTTTGTATGCCCGGTTGGTTAACAATTCGGACTGCATTCCGAATGAGTACCTTTACGATTTAACCTTTTTCTTTTTTTTCCATCATTTCGTGTCATGGTTGATTCAAAGAGTTAGGAGCTTGTCTGATGGTCCCTTCTCCCTGCGAAGTTACTACTCCATCTCGGTGAGCGGAAACGAGAGTGTCCTGCGCGAATGAACGTGACGATTAGCGGGCGCGCTAGAGCGCCATTATTATGTTCCTTATCCATAGGCCGATCTGTCGCTTTTTTTTTCTCTACATGTGTGTGCAATCGAGTGTGCGATGACCCCACCCCTCCCCTGTTTCGTTTTTTCCCTTTGTTCATTGTCCATAAAGTGGTGTTGATTGGCATGGTAGGCTTGTCTGCCCATTTTACTTAGCAGAATAGCCCCATTCCATTTTGGTACTTTTTTTTTCTCCTCGTGCAGTTCGTAATAGATACCCTTCTATGCACGTATTGCATCATGGAGGAAGTCGCGAAGACGATGGAGATGACACCCTGTCGGGCCGCGTCAGAAGATGCGAAAAATGAAGAATATGAGGCAAATGAAGCAGATAAGGCAAATAAGGAAGATACGGCGAATAGGGCAAATAATCCAGATGGCCCAGATGTGATAGGCGAACCCCCACTTGCAGCAGCAAAAGGGAGCCTGCAAATACTCAATGAACGACTCAGGTACATACTGAACGAGATGCCGCAAAAGGAAAAGAGATACCTTTTTCCCCGAGTCACGTTGCTAGTAGAAAAGTATCTCTAAAAGATGGATGAACCAAAAAAGGGGTGTGGTGTGGGGAGCGCACATTCACCATTTTGTATGCTCAGCGTGAAAAGCGAGCCAGGCACGTTTTTTAAACAGAGCTGCTCACATTTGCTAACTTTACTTGTTTGTCACTTTTGCCATTTCTCGAAGTGCCAGCGTAATTCAAAAAGTAAAGGTGCACTTGGTTCTGCACTGCATTGTTTATACCTGCCAATTTTTCTAGGCAACATTGTTAATTTGTTTTTTTCTTTTTTTTTTTTTTTTTTTTGCGTCCTCAATGTGACAACTTAAAAATTGAGAAAGTGATGCGAATTAAGAAAAGGGCTACAGAAAAGGAAACCAAAATAAATTGGTTCCAAAAGCTGCTTTTAAAAAGTGTCATTAAAGAAAGTTAGCCCCTCTTGCTCTTCTCAGCGCAGCATTCTTTAAATGCACGTATGAACACCCCATAACTCTGATATAGTATATATGCATTTGCAACAAATAGCCAACAGAGAGAAACCTTATCGCAGGGGAGATGTCCAAGCGAGATAGATTTTCCTTTAGATACTAGTAAGTAAAAAAGTGGCGGCGCCCAGAGCTCATGAGTGTTTCTTACTCGCGTGGGGTTCATCCTATTGTGTGGCAACGTTGACTAATACCATGTGTCCGCGGCAGAGCGATCAACACGGTGACGTAAAAACATGTGTAGGTGCCTATAGGGGTGGGTGGATCTTCTCCGCTGTATCACCATATGGCTCTGTCACCACATCGCTTTTCCCCCTGAATGCACTCCCCTTTTTTGCAGTGTTGGGCACGAAGGGAAATTCGGCCATGAGTTCCTCGAGTTTGAATTCAATTCCAAGGGTAGGCTAAGATATGCCAACAACTCCAATTATAAAAATGACAAAATTATAAGGAAGGAGGGTAAGCGAGAATGAACGGGTGTATATGCTTGGCGTTATATGCGTGTTTATTTCTGTATGGGCGTTTCATCTGTGTTTATGCCAATGCTGAAGTGGGAAAGAGAGAAGAAGAGACCTCGTTTTATATGAATTATCAAAGCTTATCCCCCTCATTGGCTGGCCTTTTTTCAGCCTACGTTAGTAAGTCCGTACTGAACGAGCTAAAACGCATAATTGAAGAATCGGAGATTTGCAAAGAAAGCGATAAGTTATGGCCTGCCCCGGACAAAGTAGGAAAACAGGAGCTAGAAATTTTCTTAGATGGGAATGAATATTATTTTACGACTTCTAAAATTGGATCGCTTTCTGATCTGAAACAGTGCGAGGACCCAGAGGGGCTCAGAGTGTTCTACTACCTGGTGCAGGATTTGAAGTGTTTCTTGTTCTCTCTCATTTGCTTACACTTTAGAGTAAGTAGGGGAGCAACAAGGGGCAATAATTATATAATGTGTGTGTATATGTTGGAGGAACACTCATGCGGTTAAGATCTTCCCCCCAAATGGAATTTGTCACACGTTTGTACAGCCCCGTCTCATGGTTAAAACTGACGTACGTCTTTTTCCCCTTTCCAGATTAAGCCTGTGTGAAGTGATTCCCAGGATCCTTTTCTCCCCCCCTGAGTACCAGCACAGCGATACACTTTGTTAAAACCTTTTTTTTTACTCTTTTTTTAAGTAAAAAAAAAAAAAAGGTAATCATGTCTGTGTATATGTGTCTGCACATACATGGCAAACACGTTCCTGTGCGCAAAATGCCAAAGAAACGTTAAAAAAAAAAAAAAAACGTAAAACCAAACAAATGACCCAAAATTGACATTTTTAATTAAAAAACGCACTGCATAGGGTTTTGGTGAGATGGAATTGCCCTAGGTGTATGACACGCCATCCGTGGGGAGGCATTTTTCCAAAGGTAGACACAAATAAATTGAGCCCCCTATTGGTGGTCGAAATGGGGAGATACCATATTTTGGCCCCCTTTTTACAACGTGAGGAGTAGCCCAACAGCGGGATGCGCTTCGCTGATTGAAGGGGCGCCCTCAGCGCTAGTCGTTGTGTCTTCCTTTTGTGCCGCTTGGGCGCCCTGCCTTTATTCGCCATCGTCATCTCCGTTATCATCATCATTATCATACTTATCATCGTCATTATCATACTTATCATCGTCATTATCATACTTATCATCGTCATTATCATACTTATCATCGTCGTCATGCTCATCATCGTCGTCATCCTCATCATCGTCATTATCAAACTTATCATCGTCGTCATCTTCATCATCGTCATTATCATCGTCCTCTTCGTCATGCTCTTCATCCTCGTCATCCTCGTCATCTTCTTCATCCTCATCATCCTCGTCATCTTCTTCATCCTCGTCATCCTCGTCATCTTCTTCATCCTCGTCATCTTCCCCTTCTGCCTTGCCAACCGCCCCCTGACGGCGTTTCCCCCTTTTGCTTACACCCTCGATGGACTCATTCGACGAGTCCTGCCAACTTTCACATTCGCTGGATGGTTCGTCCTCTGATTCTCCCGCCGGATGGAGCACTTTTTGCCGCTTGAATGCCTTGGGCCCGCATCCATTCTCTACAGCATGTTCCGATTCATCAATAGGAAGGGACCGAAACAAACAGCTGGTCAGTATATGACCGATATGTAGTCGCTTAACAACCTTTTTCATCTCTAAATTGAGTATGCTTAAAAATCTGTCATAGCTCACTGAACAGAGAAAAATCCCTCCCCTGTGTAAACTTAGGGAAGATATGGCCCCATTATGGATTTTAAATTTATTGAGAAATAAAATTAAGAATTGATCAAAATTGTCTTTGGCCCACATAACAGGAAGGTCATTTCGCATGTGCGTCTTGTTACTGCTTTGATATTCTTTGTAGAATTCGTACAAGCTTTGTTTGTTTTTAAGTAAAAAGGAGGGGTCTCCCTTCTTCTCTTCTTCACATGTCACTTTCTCCTGTGCGCATTTTTTTATATAAATATATTGTAGCAGTTTGTTCCCCGTGACGACTTCGAACTTGTAGACGTTTCCGTAGTTATCCGAGACGAAGATAATTTGGCTGTCCTTGGAGGCGAATTTCTTTATGAAGTAATTGCAGCAGTGTGATTCATTTGGGTCCTTCGGGGGGGATAGACTGGCATCCCTTTTTTCCTGTGTGCCCCCATTTTGGTTTACTCCTGTTGCTTCATTTTCGCCTCGTTTTTGCTGCTGAAGTTTTTCATACATTTTAAAATTGTTGGCCTTCACTTGGTGGGCATTAAATTTTGTGTGGAGTTCCTCCTCTGCGCAGTGTGGCTGGGGCGCCAATTGGCGGGGGCGTCGTTCTTTCTCCGTTTTATCTTCCTCTGTTTTTTGGTTTGTCTCTCCATTTTGCGTTTCGCCTTGTTCTTTCGCCACCTCCACTTCTCCCTCCTGAGTCTTCGGCTCTTCCTTGACCGCCTTTTCCTCACGCCACACGTGCGAGCTGCTGCTGATACACGTAAAGACGAGGTCGCTCTCCGAGTAGTTATGATCAAAAGAGGAAAACTTATTTTTACTGATATTCCCCCTTTTGTAATGGTCATAAACGTAGACCGGCTTCGCTTGGCAACGCATATCATATAGAACAATTTTGTGGTCATACGTTGAGGCTGACAGTATATTCACATTGATGTCGTCAAGGAAGTTCACAGATTTTATTAAACTTTCGCAATTTAAATTTAGCAAAGTTGTTCCTATGTTTTTTGATTTCCACATGTAGGTGCCCGTGAATAAGTCAAATACTTTTAAAGAGTTTCTGTATCCCCCGATTGCTAGTCTGTTTGTTAGTACCTCATTGACACAGGCAGCATCAATTGGGTTACTTAAGATGTACGAATGACAGATGGCTTCCTCAGAGAGCATATTATCGAAGTGATAATCTGTGCATATGTCTTCCGCTCTGACATTTGCATACTCGTTTTTTTTTATGATGACATTGTTATGACTATTTTTTTCTTCAATTTGTTTGAATTCGATACACTGCAATACTTCTTCTTTGTAGTTTTTAAAATAAAGCTGCCTTCTTTTCGTAGCATCATCTTTGTGTTTCATTTCATCTTCCTTACTGAGGTGGTACTTACTACGTTCGTTGTCGCAGTTCCAATTTAGCACATGTACATGTCCGCCATTACTCACGGTGAGGAGAAGTCTATCATTTTGCAGATAATTTTCATACACTCCATTTTTTACATTTTCACTTGTATAGATGGGCATGAACTGGGCATAATTAATATACCTCTCCTTTTCTTTAGCGAGGAGATCTTTGTATATCACACTATGGTGCTGATTAAGCATCCTTGTGTAAATACAATTGTTGCAACTAAGAAATGATAGCAAGCATGTGTCGCTGATGTTCGGGTTTGGTTCATCATACCAGAAAGGAAAACTTTCGACTAGCCCATTCTTTCTGCATAGCGTTATTTGTGACTCTTCATATCCTCTTTTAAGGGGGAGGGGGGGGGTGAGTAGGGAAAAAAGTGAGTAACTAGTGGCACATGCGTGACGAATGAACATTTTTTGGACAGGTATATACACCGATTTGCGGCGCTTCCACTTGCACGTCCCGCAAGCGACAAGAATGACTTTCACCCAATATAAGTCAGTCAACATGGTAATGCTTAAAGGTGGAAACAGGCAACCGCTTTACCCTCGCATAAACATCTACATATCATACTGATGCGCCTGTAGAAGTAAGGTACGTGCGCGCACAACAGGGTGGATATATAAAATGTATTACCCGTATCCGCCAGACCACGTCACGTGGTTGATTGTTCTCCTCAAGTCGGGCTGGAGCGTCTGCTCAGAAATGGAGCTGTTGGGTCCGCATTGTACATACTTGAGGAGGCCTATCTTATCGGACGTAATTATTTGCATCGTTTCTGGTAAGATGATTTATCCCTTCACTTACGTTGTTTTTGCTACATGTACGCTGATGCGGTTAAGTTTAAGAAATAATTCTCGCATTTCTTTGGGAGCAAAAAATGAAGCGGCGCATCAGAATAATTCACAGCAAGTGGCAGTGCCAATCGCCTCAAACGATCAGTCGACGTAACCTATATTTTGTAGTTCCCTTATTTTGCATTTTCACGGATGAAGTTTAAGAAAGTTGCGAAAACAATGCGTCGTTGGGAGTTTCTTTCCTACATTGATGTGAAATATATACCGGGAAAGAAGGGGCAGAACAAAAAAAAAAAAAAAAATTATCAGCAAATATGCATATGTATATGTAAAAAATATAATGACAGCCCCACAAAGGGGCTACTCTTAGGCGCGCAGAATGGGCCGAAAGGGAAAATGCAACATGTGATTAGCGGGAGGAAAAAAAAAAACGATTATAACTACCGCATGTATTTTCGGAGAAGTTACCTAACCTTTTGAAGTGAAAGAACCGTCTTAAAATAGGTAGGTTGAAGCCCAGCGAAACGTTGCTGTATAAAATTGTTTCGAAGAAGGTATGCTTCCTTACTGAAATCGTTGAAGAATGTTTTTTGGGGGGAAAGCACTTTTAAAATATTTTCAACATTTTACGACGCTGCCCAAAGCTTTTTCCCCCATTCCCTTTGTTCCGCAATTTTGTTAAAAAAAAGGAAAAGTTTTGTCTGTCAGCTTTGCATTATCAGGTGATTCGATTCTATTCGATGGGGGCCATGCCCAACTGTATAGAGAATTTTTCGTTTAACAGTTGTAAAGTATGCGTAAAGCAGTTTCGTGATCCCCCCGCAAAAGGGGTAATGAAGATAAGTATTCGATGTTCCTTATATATGTGCATGTGTTTAAGGGGCATATTATGGTGGGCATTTTTTAATCACTTCCTGTGCATTTCTCATGAAAGGAAAGAAGTGTGATATGGATCCTCTCCTTTGAGTAGCGCACTTTTTATTTTCGTAAGCGATATATTTTTTTTTTGCACAAATGTTTCCTTTTTGGGTACTCCCTCTCTTCGGCTTGTCCATACAACAACGCATCTTTGGAGCCATTTGGTTTCACTTTGGCATTTGTTGATTCGTCAAATGGCAGAAATGCGCGTCTCTTTTTTAGTTTCCTTTTTTGATGATCGAAGATGTGTTTCACCTTTTTTTTCTCTCTTTTTTTAACGTTTGAGAATTCTTCAAAAGGTGGCATGGCACACTTTTTGGTCCCCTTTTTTTTTGAATTGGCTATTTTTCCATCGATATGGTGTCGCAATTTTGCATGCCATTTTGGCTAGTTGTTCGCAATAATTTTTTTTTTCTTTAATCACTTAAAATGTATATATTAAAAAAAGCAAGAATTGTCTGTCATTTGTGAAACATTTGTTTTTACAATTCCCTGGTTGTACAATTTTACAAAAATTTATTTTGCAAAGATTTAAGAGACAAAATTAAACACATTCCCGCTGGTAGACAAATTCGTACATCATAAATGTCTAATCTTTGTAACGATTTTTTAGCAAAAGGGACTCGTATTGGAGGGGAAGCCTTCCTGTTAAGCTGTTTATATATACTAAAGGGGAAAAAAAATTTTCCTTTTTTTTCTTTTTTTTTTTTTTTTTTCTTAAGAAACTGCTATTTTGCAAAATGGCGAATCCAATCGTTAGCTTCATGAAAACTTTGGCTAATTTTATATCAGACATTTGCAATGCTGTGATAAGTTGCGTGGACGGTTCATGCAAGGCTTTAACGTGTCAGTGAAGGATGGGGATTTTTTTTTTCTTGTGAAAGATGGACGGGTGACAACTATGAAGGGGACAGCCAGATGTAGTTCGGCTTTTAATTGAAGACTGATTTAAGAAAGGCAAGGATGGGAAGAAAGGGAAGACGAATGGAACCTTTGGAAGGTAATTAACTCAGAGAAATTAATTTTTACAAGAGCTACGGATAACTTCTTTATCTCTGATGATGCTTTTCGTTGGAAGTGATTATTTTATTTTTTTTTTCGTTTACCGTCCACTTAGTTCCGTCTCCACGGAAGTTGTACAAGACCGTTTTTTTCGTTTTATCTTTCTTTTTTTTGCCAGGTGTGTGTTAAACTGGAATTGTGTTAGACTGCTAAAGCTTGAACAACTGAGTTAGAAGGGCTGCTTTCCATTTTTTCTTTTTTTTTTTTTTTAACCATTTCTATCGGTGTGACATCGACAGAAAGTGTTGTTATAAGAAAATACGTATGTTACAATTGGGAACAAAAGGGGGGAGCACGTTCTTTTTTTTTTTTACCGCTAAAAGAAAAATCCAAATGGTGCCCATAGAAAACAATGTCATATGAATTGTATAGACTGAGGGAAACGATTCTTCTTTGTTGTGCTCAACACTTCTGTGGAGCTAATGCTAAAAAGGGATTGGGAAGAATAGGGGCTAAGTGTCCCTCTAATCTGTGCATCAGCCTAAGTGAAAAGGAGTTTTTTTCTTCCTTTCCTAGGTGGTGCAACGACGCTGTTTTATAGAAATGGAAGCTCCTGCATTCCGGTAATACATGTATGGTTCGGCACACAATTGAGCTAATTGAATTAGGCGTAACGGTTAAACTTAATGACTCGTTCTCTTCTATTGTGAAGGGATAATCCCAGAAGGGCTCATTACATTCAGTGGAGGCCCCCATTGATGCATTCCAATTGGATAATATTGACGCAGGTTTGATTATGCGAATGTGTTGGTGAAGAAACGCTACCAATCCATCAGTCAGATTGATTAACCTCGATAGGCACAATCTTCTCATCTTCACTTCGAATTTTTGGGGGACAAAAGTAAAGTGTGGGGAGGGAGGCCTACAAAGCACACATAGGGATGGTCCGTCGAATCATGCACAGGATAGGACATGTTCATTCGTGCAGGAAAGTGGGGGGAATAGTCCCCCCCAGGGGTAGTAAGGCTCTTTAGGATGCTTCCATATTGCAGAACATAAAATGAATTATTCTTTTTTTCACAAGTTTCACCATTTGGATAATTCAGTCATGTCCACTTTTTACACCCCATGTAGAGTCATTCCAAGGGGAAGTTTAAAAGAAGTGTCCACGTTACATTCGAATAGAAGGGAACCTCGTCAGCAGTTCATGCCCGGTTTAAGTTGGTTCACATGTAGGACTATATACGTACGTGTTAACCGTGCTAGTTGGTTCAACTGTTAATTTTTTCATTTTTTTTTCTTATCGCTTTAGTAGGTAGGCGGTGTGGTAGAAACTTTTATGATAAGTTGCACTTCCGATATGGGGTTTCGAATTAGAAAGAATACCCCTGTACATTGCGCGGTGCGTTTGAAACCTCCAGCAGGGGGAGAAACGGCTAGGCAAGATTTAGGACTTCGGGGTAATGCTATAACTTCCGTGCAATCATTGCGCTTTACATTTTTGGGAATAAAACATAAATTAGTTTCCCATTATATTTTCTTTCTTTTTCCCATTTGAAGTGACCACGGGGAAACATACGTTCCAGTATCATTTGCATGCCCCCTTTTCAGAATCAGACAGGTCGAGTTAAATGACAGACAAGCATTAACCTCGGAAGGGGAGAAATTCATGCGTGTTATGTGACACCTAGTCCGAAGATTTGGCAATAGTGGGGGGACTCAAAATAATTGGTTAGAAAATCTTTCCTAAAGAAGTATAACTTTCTTTTCATTAGAACCGGCATCTTGTCACGTGTGTGAAAATTACATCCTTTTAGGAAAATAAAACGTGACAAGTTGGAAAACGGTTGCAAAACTTCGAGCAAAAATGGTACAATTTGGGTGGGTTAGAAGAAATCTATCTTGCTCTATATTCAGGAAATGCGAGTGCATTAAGAGTTCTTCTTTTTTAGGCTAATTGGAAAAAAATGGAAAAAAAAAAAAAATAAGAAAAAAAGATGTATATACTGTTATATTTTTCCCTCTACTATAATTTACCAGGGAATGAGTAATTTCCCGTTTTCCCACGTGGTTCAGATTTTCACATTCCAACGGATGACCCGGGTTAAAAATAAAAAAGAAAACAAAAAATAGGTAGTTAATGTGCATCATATATTATTACGATTTATACAGAAAGGGAGAGCAAATAGCTGGTAAGGTGGGAAAAAATATGTGAAAAAAAAATTACAACTTGGATGTAAATTCTCTCTATATAATTTTTCAGAAAATTGCTCATTTCAGTGCTTAGGAAGAATGGGAAACTGAGATGGCTACGCTAGAAAAATTGTGTGTACAATTTGTTTAGAACCAGGACGAATATACACATGCGTAGTGTGTACACATTATCTATGTATACACATATATACACACTTCTTTTCGCGCAAGCGAATGGGTGTAGGCGTAAGCAAGGGCCCCGAATCGGGAAAATAGATTTCAAAGTTTGTAATGAGAAATTGTGGTACGTTTACCTGCTAGAAACGTCCTAGATTTGCAACCATTTGGAACTCAGAGACGCGAATAGATTAAAGTGAAAAAAAAGAGGTAAAAATAGAGGTAAAAAGGGAAGGTAAAAGAAAAAAAAAAAAAAAAAAAAAAAAAAATTAAAATAAAATATCCAATTCGTAAACACTACTCTTTATTTACAAGAGTCTGCTTCTGTTTCGTCAATTTTCCAACTTTTTTAAGAAATTTCAGAAAAGTACAAATTCAGGAATCAGCATTTGAAGAAATTAGCCAAAGTACTGTACAGGCGTGTGTGCGAATAGACACTTTCATAAGTATAGCACACAGAATTTGAGTACGCGTGCTAAATCAGAAGCCAGTCTGCAGGAATTACCCCTCGTTCCAGCGCAAAGTGGAATCTCCTCATTTTCATCCTTTCCCAACGTGCGTTTCTGCCGTACAGTATAGTATATAAGAAAATCCGTTCCAATTGCAGTACCTGCAACCTCCACTACAATGCTCTCAATAAAGTTTTTTATCTTTTCTTTGATATGGATAGTTCTATACGTAAGTTTACATGTGTGTACACTTAGATTGGGAGAAAGAATTCCCTAATTTTTGGCAGGGGACGCCATAGGAAGTGCGTGAAAGACCCTAATAGGGTGACCGTTCATACGTGCAAATTCCCGCGTTCGCCGACGGAGAAGTACACCTGCCCGTGGGTATCTATATTATCTGGCGCGACCTACTGGGAGTGTGCCTGGTACTTGCAGTGTCGTCCAATATTAATTATTTATATTTGGTTTTGCAGTGTGAGCGAGCAAAGGACAGTTCCTTCTTGACGAACTACAGCAAGTAGGTGTATGACGGGTGCTGCCCCTACCAGGCAAATGCTTACATGTGCGGCGTATGCGAGATGGAAGCGGAGAAATGGATTTCTTCATTAAGAAGAACCTGTGTAATGAATTTGCACGCCCTCATTTTAGGACCTTTTTACATTTTTTCCCTGTTTTTTTTTGCGTCCTTTTTCACATCGTTTTTGTTAGATCGCCCGAAGAATTGAACCGTCGTATTTTGAGGTAGGGAAGCGGGAGCCTAAAATGGGCACCAAACAGTTTTATACTTATAATAGCATGTCCAATGGTGGACGCAGGGAACATGAGCCTTCTGGAGTTCCCTTGAAATGTTCTTTTACTTATTTATTATTTTTTTTGCTCATTTTTGCTCCATCCCAAATGCATCCACTTTGTCACTGCCTGTTCACATTTACAGATTGGAGACTCCGGAACCATGGGGAGATTCCCAAACGTACGAAATTACCACCAAGGATAAGTCTGGAAATTTTATTACGACCGTGTTTAACAAAAATGGAGAGGCGTTGTATTTTTACATAAATAAGAAGGCATCAAAACGGAATGGATCAAGCAAAGGAAGGAATTCCAAGTTGAGAAAAAGAAAAAATCAGAATTAAGTTCTATCGCATTGGGTGTGAGAAGATATATTTTTATTTCTATTTCTTTCTGTATTTTTTTTAAGTTCTGTTTACAGAAATTCGGCCACTTTTTTTTTTTGTGTTGTCAAACTGCTGATCCGCGACTGAGCCACACTATGAGTGCACTTTTATTTCGCAAAAAAATTGTAGAAGTTTTTTACGCGTTGTTTACACATAGGAAAAAATGAAAGAAACATGCATGCTTGTTTACAGGCGTGTTTATCTACGTGCATATTCCCGAATGTGACGCGTGAGCGAGTGAAGCCCATTTTTCGCGAAGACTTACGCGAACATTTTGAAATAAGTCTTAAATTTCTTCCTTTTTTTTTTACGTCAAATTCACTTAAAAGGAGAACACTAACGACACCAGGGTGTTGCGTGCCAGTCGCTGGCACGCTGCGTCGACGGCTAATAAGCATATTGGCACACTGTACGGTTTTGCAGTTCGATGTGATGTGTTACGTGGTGGCACTCCATCATCATCATGATGACCATGATCATGATGACCATCATCAACTAATCAACATCATCAACATCGTGCTTTTAATGTTGCGTTCTTTCTTATGCGCAAGGGAAGATTGTACATACATAATGGTGACGTGTGGGGGGTAGGGGGCGGCTGCGCGGGGATATGTTCCCCGAAAAATGGCAGTGGCCGCGCTTTATACACAAAGAAGTGGCGTTGTTGTGAGTAACCTGGCGGGGGTCGGACGGCGTCACGGAACGGGGGTATTGCGCTCATTTGTATGGTAGGTAAATATGCGTCGCAGTATAAGACAGGATAACTATGTTTTTTTTTTTCATGAGGTAGTTATATGAGCTCGTGAACAGTAAAACAGCGCATATCATTGCAAGAGGAACAACAGCATTTGGACGCTACACATGCGTCCATCAGTTTGTTCGAGCAGGTGGTAGTGGCTGCTCCAAAAAGGACTTCACAAAATTGCTATGACATTGACAGTGGTTTCTTTTTTCATTTTTTTGAAATAAAATATTTAAGCGTTTTCTCATGCAACATGGGACTTATCTCTGGATAAATTAAATTGACAAAAATTATTTTGGGAAAGTAATGGAGGCTTTACATGTTGAGAAAACAAGAAAAAAATCCCTTAAGTTGGAGTGAAACACAGTATGCGCAGAGTAGGATGACAATCAAGTGTTCTCACTAAGCGGCGTAAAAATAAAAAGAATAAAAAAAATAAAACATGTAGAACTTAAAAGATAACATTTTCCCAAAATACATAGAATTTGTTGCTATTATGCTATTATTACACCAAAGCACTCTTCACCAATTTTGATGAATATGTTTGCATTGCGCAGGAAGAAGTATCAAATTTTATGTAGGAAGGAATTTTATACGATGAAGCGCGTGGGCCATTTGGGGCGGCATCATTAAATGGGGGGCTAATATTTTACCCCTGCTCATGGATATGATGCATAGGCAGG